TGTAACATTTGTATTTCAAAATGGTGTCGACACTTCTTTTCCATGACATTCCAAGTTTATCTGATGATCTTAAATTTGTGAATGAGGCAAACTTTAAAATCCCTTTAGAAAACACAGGCGTCATGGAACATTTAGTGGGTAAACTGAACTAGAACAAATTTTAACAGATTTGCTTAAAAATTAATGAGTTTTAAAAAAAAAGCATGTGAAAAGGTACAGACAGTGCTAAACTTAACTTTCAACAAAATTACCAAATTATACAAGTGAACTGTCAATTTATAAAACGACATGCTTCCCCCTACGGTCTTTAAGGTCCCTTTCAAACCATCCTATGCTACTCTATTTTAAACTCAGCAGTGTGCCCAGGTGGCCAAGAAGGCCAATGGCATCCTGGCCTGGATCAGGAACAGTGTGGCCAGCAGGACCAGGGAAGTGATTCTTCCCCTGTACTCAGCGCTGGTGAGGCCACACCTGGAGTGCTGTGTCCAGTTCTGGGCCCTTCAGTTCAGGAAGGATATTGAGGTGCTGGAGCAGGTCCAGAGAAGAGCAACGAGGCTGGTGAAGGGACCTGAACACAAGTGCTGTGAGGAGAGGCTGAGGGAGCTGGGGCTGTTCAGCCTGGAGAAGAGGAGGCTCAGGGGAGACCTCCTCACTCTCTACAACTACCTGAAAGGAGGCTGTAGCCAGGTGGGAGTTGGTCTCTTCTCCCAGGCAACCAGCAGTAGGACAAGAGGGCATGGCCTCAAGGTGCACCAGGGGAGGTTTAGGTTGGACATTAGAAGGAAATTCTTTACAGAGAGGGTAATCAGGCATTGGAATGGGCTGCCTAGGGAAGTGGTGGATTCTCTGTCCCTGGAGGTTTTTAAGATGAGGCTGGATGTGGCACTTAGTGCCATGGTCTAGCAACCGTGGTGGTAGTGGATCAAGGGTTGGACTTGATGATCTCAGAGGTCCTTTCCAACCTTTCCAATTCTACGATTCTATGATTCTATGATTTAGGTCTGCTAAAACTGGAAAATTAACTAAAAGGCAAATAAAATCCTGAGAAATCAATACTATCCATTCTTTTTAAAAATTCAAAATACTACAGTGAACATACACCCTGAAACTTCCCTCTGGCCTCTGTTTATTTGCTTACTATTTTTATTTATTTTTATATATATAATAACCATATATATATATATAAATTATATTCTGAAAAAATCCAAATGTAACTTTTCTCAAGTTTTTTTGCTGACTTTGAAAGATCAATGAAGGGATGGATGGAAATATCCATGGAAACTGCTGAAGAGTGGTAGCTTGCACCTGCAGGACTGGATGTGAAAATCTGAGAGTCTTTGAACTCTATGACCTAATCCTCCCTGATCACAGGTGGAAGAATTTACCTCACTGCAAATGAGTTTTTAAGAGCCTCGTGTAAAGCTCTGGCTGGTGACAATTTATGCATCCACTAACACCCAGACCCAAAGGTAATTATTTATTACAATTTTATTCAGTTTTTCAGCTGCCCTCTGTCAGGACCAGGCTCCAAAGAGAGGGACACAGACCAGGTCATGTTGATCTCTATGCCTGGACACATGAAGAAACTTACAAATGACACAGACTAAAAAATGTCTAAAAACTGACACAGAAAATGTCCCAAATTACTTTATTTTACTAACACAGTAGCGAAGTGCCTTCCTCACACCTGAGCTCCACAGACAGGAAGTGGTCTAAGGGAAAACTGGTAAAATGATTTCCAGACTCAGGCTGGAGTTAGATGAGCATTTCAAAGATATGTAAAGTCATCTTATGTAATCTAATATAGTTGTACGACTTCTATTGCCCAAGTAACTGTTTGGGCTCTCCTAGTTGGAGTTTCAGAGTGTTGTACAGCAGAACTAATGCCTTCACTGCTCCTATAGTCCCGCACACTCAAGTTTTGCTGCTAATGAACCAAGAGCAGGCTCAGTTATTGTATCACACCTGTTTATTTCCAGAGTCTCACTACTGTACAGACTAAAAGAAGATTAGGACAAAAAATACATAACTATGACATTTAAAATTACATTAAAGCCCAACATAGGAGGAGGAAATTGAGGCACATCCTAACTCCTTATAAACCTGTTTTCTTGACTTCTCAAATTTAACTTCTGACACTGTAAACAATTCTCTTTTTTTTAGACTAAAAAAGTCTTTAGTCTTCAACTAAAGAAGTCATTTAGTTGAAAAGAGCACTGCACAACTCCACCACCTTCCCTTCACTGTATCATTGTTTCAGACTGTCAGCACTGTAGTGACCGTCATCCATCACCTGAACTGAAGTATAAAAGTACAGGTACATGGAGACACAAGAAAAACTCAGCTGATGGCTTCAGAAACTCCACCTCTGTGGACCAGACATGAAATGCCAGAGGTTGCTAATTAACTTCAGTGCTAGTGGTCTAAATATGCAAGAAAACCTCATTTTAGAAAGAGCAGACTTTTACCACATACTGTCTGAGAAACCATAATTCTCCCTTATTTAGCTACCTCCATCTGCTACACTAACATACTGTATTATTTTATAAAATAAAAATATATTTATTTTCTTTTGTAAAAAATAAGATTTTTTTTTTTTTTAAAAACCAAAGTTCTCAAAAATCGTGTTAATGGTCAGCAGAGCCAGCCTTAAGAGAATCTCAGTAATGATCCTCTGTTTGCAGCACAGTCCCCGTCTGAACTTCCATGTTCCCCGGACCTGTCTGATAAGAATCCATTGCAGCAGCCATGACTTCCAGTTTGGTTACATCACCATGCGTGGTTTATGCCCACTTGAAACACAGTTTCAGTGCAAAACCAAGAGAAAAGAAATTGTATCATCTGAGCTCTCCAAGCAGAGCTGGTCAACAGCCTCAGTTTAGGCCAATCCAAACAGCTCATGAAAGCAACAAAAAGCATCCTTATAGTTCCAGGATGATCTTCTAGATAAATTTTAGGTTAAAAGAAGTTGAAGTGCTACAATGCTTTTGTATTGCAAAGTCTCAGAGAACTAAATATAGACATAAGCACCACTCTCCACTCTCCCCGTAATCTTCCCTCTCCTGAAGAACAAAATTGTTTGCCTTCATCACCCAAGAGGAAGCTGCAGGTCTGAACTGCAAACTCTTGGTGAAAGAGGACTGGAGTTTGTCAGTACTCAGAACAAGGCAGATGAAGATGTTTTCTGTGGTTTGGTTCCTCTCAGGACCAGATGGGACCAGAGAAACTGCAGGAGAGGACAGAGAAATGCACTGTCTAATTACAGGTGTACAAGGAAAACAGTACCTACGAAGGCAGTAGGAAGTTTTCATCATGAGTTTCTCTGCCTTGTTTGTGATTTCACCTATGTTTCAGGGCAGCAGATGATGTTCCCCAATTTTCATGTTTCACAGGCAGAGCTGTATCTGTCAATACATTTTCTTGTCAGATGAACTGACCTTGGTGAGACTCGGCTCCCACTGAGGGTTTCACAATGTGGTATTAAACTGCTGCCTGACAGCACTCACTCCAACACCACCACACCTTGTCAGGGGCTGTCTGCGCTCATCAGCTTTACACATACCTTACAGTTTCCACCACACTGGAATGTAAATGACTGGATTCTGGCTCAGCTTCCCTTGGTGGGATTGCTCCCAACCATATCAATGCACCCACCATCAAACCTGCACTTGGATTTGCAAACCTACATGTATTCTTAAGCAGATGACTTCAGCAAAATTTAATAATATTTTGAAAAAAAAAATGTTAATTTTCAATCCCAGGCCTTGCAAAAAGAGCAGGCTGCTGTTGTGGCTTCAAGCAAGACTCAAGCCAGGTACTGGCAAACAAGGAAATTTTACCCATACTTAACTTTCTGTCATCATGTCTTTCTTACATCTTTAAAAGATCTAGAGTGGCTGGAAGTCTTTTCACGCTTCTAAAAACAAAACGCCCACATCCTCCTTCTGTAAAACCTTTAAAATAGTTACTCTCTCCTCTGCACTTCACATACTTGTCCTATTGGTGCCCTTTCCCCCTCTTAAATGTCACTCCAGAAAATAACAGAAAAAAAGTTAATTCCTTTGACATCACAACTGGAGTGGGTGACTGACGTAAAAAAAAAAAGAAAGAAAGAAAAAAGTGAAGTATTGATACAATCTAAAAATTAAGATAAAACTGTGTGTAAAAAAAATCTACCTAACCAGCTGCTCAAGGCAGGAAAAGCAGAAATAAATTAATTAATCAGTTCTGCCAACTCCTGAGGATTTTGTGACTGGCAGCAGTCAGATATTTTCCACTTCACTTGCACATATCTTTTCATTCATTTATCAAAAATCATGCCTTAGTTTGCCAATATAGAGAAAACCAAGCGAGTTTTGGTGAAGAGGAGACACAACCTCAACCTGGGAGCAGTTGAGACTCAGATTACAAGTATCAGGTTGGCCTTGCACTAAAAGATGCCATTTTTTCCATCATAATATCCTGCACTGTCAGTGCCCAAAATGCTCACCAGGTGTTTAGTTTCACTAAACGCAATAGAAGCAACACGTGGTATAAATCCTGGACTTGTTTTTTTGGGCACTGGCGTTGGGATCTTCAATGCACAAGGAGATTGCCCAGGCTTAATTCCCACTGAAGCCTGAAGACCTCAGAGATCTGGCCTGTGGCTTAGCGCAGAGCTGAACACAACCAACAACGTTCTCACTTTAAAATTTCCATGTAATGTCATGTATATTATCATAAGAAATTATTTTAATATTATACTCACTCAAGCATTTTCAATCTCTACTTGTAAAATGGCACCATTTCTTGTTCTTGAAAGGACTTGTACTGTACTAATTCATAAACTACAGTCAGGTCCCTTCCTTTACACCTATTCACTCTTGTTTAAAAATAAACTCAAATAGTGCACCATATAGTGAGACATAGTTTAGGAAAGAATCTTTTCTACAGACTTGCACACAGTATTACAGAGGATTTTCTATCCTGAAATGCCTGTAATCATAATTTTTTCTGAATACCTGAAAAAACCCCGGTGGTACAGGACCTACTGGCATGCCATCTCCTGGGGGAATGTTTCCTAGCACTGGACTGGGAGCTGCTGCAGCACTCTGAAAAGAACAAAGGGAAAATAAACCTTTGTCATTGCATTGGTAGGCATTAAATCCCCTCCCCAAAAAACCCCAAAACCTGACCAAAGCGCAGAAAGTAATTCTCCGGGTATGTTATTATGTCACTGTTTCATCTGAAGGTGAATTAAAATTGTTTAGTCATCACCTATACAAGTATCATGATTTGTGAAAATAACAAATGAGGGCAAGGATGCCAGAGATTGCATGCATCCATTAGACAGATTGACTAAATTTTAAAAAATATTGCATCTGAGTATGTCTGCATACACAAATGTGAGTGTAACTTGCACACTTTTTCTTGTATTACATGTAGAAACAGCCTCACACATGCACAAGGATACACATACAGCATAAACTAAGTAATTTATGCATTTTATCAGCGATTTCCAAGCACTCTAAAGATAATTTCATCGGACTGTAATATTCTCTCACAACAACAAGCTCCAAAACAGGATTCTGTTACAAACAGCACAAGAAGGAATGCTCACAATTCTGCTGGTAATGCCCATGGATTTTACCAACCCCAGAAATAAACACCATGACAAATTAGAAGAATTTGGGTTATGGTTTTGGAAGGGAAAAGAAAAAAGGGATTTCTAAGGAGTGAATCAGAGGATGAAATTAGTTACCTTTGCAAATCCTTCAGCTGGAATAAGCGATCAAAGAATATTGCTCCTGGCAATTTATAAAGCAGGAGATTGTCATACAAAAAGGGAAGCCAAACTGCTTCTGTTGTCATGTGTTGGAACCTCAATTACTTTTAATTTCTAGCAGTCTTCCTTCCTGCAATGTGTTTCTGTAGGGTATGAGGCTGAATCACCTATAAAGGCTTGAAAATCTCCTGTGAAAGTACTCAAACCCACAAAATGCACTCGGAGCCACTGGCAGGTTACTAACGACCTGCCAATACCTGCCCTGCAGAACACACATGGCTGATGCTTATTAAATTATCACTCCATTTACTGTGTGCTTACACTCGATGTCCAAAAGATGCAGATATGCAAATTGTATTTCCAGGTGTTTGGCACACTACCTAAGAAGTTAAGGAATAGTGCTGGAAAGACCTGAAAACTGGTACGAAGGAGGGCTGACCTTTTTAAACCAAGCAAAAAGGAAATATTCCTTTAATTACCACAGATTTATTTCTTTTTCAATGGCTTAAACTGTGTTTTAGAGTCAAAGTTATGAACAACATGTCCCTGTGCTGCCCGAGCTGAGCCCACCTCTGCTGGCCTTGAAATGTGCACTGTGGGATGTCCAGTGGAGCACAATGCATTGGAACAGAATCCAACAAATCACTGGACAAACATGTCCCAGCAGGTCCAAGTCTCTGCCAGGAGGGAACAAACTCTGGGGATGCAGAGCTCCCACAGGGATTTAGTGACCTGCTCCTGCTGAGTTCACACTCTTCCCCACTTTGAAAACGACTTAAAAAAAGTAAAATGGCAAATTACACTCAGCACTTTAAAAAACAGAGAAGGAAATAACGACTCTCACAAAACAGGGGGAGAAAAGGGTTAAAGTTATAACTGTTAGCCATTAAATGTCCTAAGAGGGCTTTATAAGAAATATACCTAAAAATAACATTTTCATAATTGTCTCAATGGAGGTGGGTTTTTCAAAATTTTAAAATTTGGGTGGTTTTTTTTTTTTCCTTTTTCTGAATCTGCCATAGCACTCATCCCAGAGGAACCCAGCACTGACCACGGGTGAATCCCCAGGGATTCCCAGGGAGGTACTGCATTGTGTTGGGTTTATTTGTTTATTATTTGTTAATTATTTGATTACCAGGTTATTTGAGAGTTGATTACACCATCCAGTTCACAGATACTTGTGCAAAACCACCTCTCCCCTGCATTTCTGAGCAGGGAGGGAGGGCAGGATGAGGCCATAACAGCAGATCAGTTGTACTGACATTTCTGGTACTACTTAATAATTGTAAGAATTCTGTAGTTGCAGCCATTTTGGCATAGTCCAGTCTCGGGTGTTACAGAAACTTCAACTTCCACCCTTCATTATGCAATGTACTGTGGGTTTTTTTCTGTTTTCATGTTTCCCTGGGGTTTTCTTCCCTGATGGGCAATGAAGTTACAAAATCAGAAATAAAGCATTTTCAGTATTTTAGGTATATTACATTTTCTCCCTTGTACTAAATAATGAATCTTTTAACAACTTACACCAGGTAGATCAATAAACAAATCTGCAACTGCTGCATGGAAATATTCTTATTTATTCTATCCTGATGAATTATTCAGTTCTTTTTTCACAGTCCCACAGCAAACTATGGCTTTCTTTTGCATTCCTTACAAGTTGTTCATCATTTATAACTCCATTAGTTTGACATTTTTAAATATTTGCAATTTGCTTTCCCTTCTTTCCATAAAATGATGAAATAGGAAAATTTAAACGGTATAATCTTTTTGTACATATCTTATCTCCTTAAAAATGGAGAACTGTATTTGCTTTTGTAGCTAAAATACTGAATTTGTACAATTTACAATTATTAATTAAAATGGTGTGCTTGAATGAAAGTTATTGTGGTCACTCCTTGCTCTACCCAAGCTACTCTCAACAATGCTAAAGTAGATGATTATATTTAAAAAAACCACTAGCTATGAATTAGGGTGGATTTTACAATAAGGAAATCACTGATAAATAAAAAATAGAATCATTTGGCTATTTCATTAGTACAGGATCTAAAGTATAAAAATCCAGAGAGAAGTCTGCAAGATATAGGTCATTTTTGAGGCCATCACAAGAAGTGCCTTATGATGGAAGCTCACAGAAGAATTTGATTTGAAACCAAAGAATGCTACCAAAAAATAGCTTGAATTTATAAAAAACCTTATCTGACTCATTTTTTAATCAGGGCATTTAATTCCAGATATTTTGCCTACAGTAAGATACCCTTATTTTTATCCCGTTAGCAGTTTTTCACATGTTACTAAATTTGTCCAGTCAAAGGAGAGTTCTGTTTTTAAGAAGTCTGACTGAAGAAAAACTGATGATGGAGGAGTTGGACCCTACACACAAAAATGATTATGGCCACTGTTGGCCACTCAATTCATCATCTAACCCTCCACAAACCTCCTAAACCAGCCCTACATCCATATTACTAACTTACTGTTATCCTACAAAATTACTTCTAATTCACAGTATTTCATGCCCTCTCCACTTACTGCAAACAAACAGGAAATTAACTGAACAGACACAGATGTGATTAATTTAGTTTTATCACATTTTACTGAGTATTTTTGATACAACTATGTTGTCTTCTTTAGGAGAACACTTTAAAAATTGCCGTTTCTCTTTTTTTTTCCTAAGGACAAAGGATAAATATTCAGCATTACTTTTTCAAGTTCATTAATTTAGGAAATGATGGGAATTAAAGAATTTAAATGCAGTTGTCGTTTCCTTTTTTTTCTCTGGAAAGACAAATGATGGATGATTACTATTTCCAATCATATTTACCACTTGCTTAATTTCTGGTCATTGACAGCTCTGAAGTGCCAGACATACTGCAGCCAATATTGTAAAAAGATGGCAAATTTTCATTTGTAAACACTTCAACTTGTAACTTATCAAGTGTTTCTAAGCCATCAGCCAGTTACTGTAACAGTCCTTCACTATTTTTACCTACCATAAGTTAGAGAAAGAAGTACTAAGAGGAATTTCACTGAATAACCACTAGAAACCTTCTAATTTTCAAGACAGAACATGAAAGTACTCATCACTCTGTACAAAAAAATAAATTAAATTAAAAAAAATTAATTTAAACAAGCTTCCATTCCTTTTACAAAGCCTCTGAACACTCAGCTGCATGTAACAGAGCCATAAAATGAGTGGTCTTGGTTTACTAACATCGAAGTGGAAAATTGTGCCCAAAAAGGTGAATTCATCACATTGAAAGAAGCGAGTAATTACAAAGATCTGGATCACGAGACCTAATTAAATCTTGGTGCAGTTCCATTGCTATATATTTGTCTAAACTGTGTAATTTCTGTTGTGTAACAAGAAGGCTTTCACATCACAGCAGCAACCTGAGAAGTGTAATCGTGGAAGGTCATTCCTTGCAAATTCTCAGTTCTCCTCAAACTGCAGCTTCTTATGGTTTGATATGGACTCTGGTATTGTATTTCTGCCCATCCCATCTTACACATTATTATGAGTGATAAAGAATAACAGTAATACAATCAATGTAGATGAAAAAAAAAAATCACACTTTTTTTTTTTTGGGGGGGGGGGGGGAGGAGAAAGAGTTCAACCAGGAAGAGCAGACCTGTTGATGGTGATGGTACACTCTGGGACTCCATCCATTCTCCTTTCCCAAGAAATCTACCCCCAAACCAACCTCATTCTGAGTAAATCCTCCCCATATCTGAGGCAGGATCACACTTTTTCCGACTGTACCCCAGTGCCCAGTGAAATTATGTTACAATGCTGAAAACCAGGTACTGGGTTGGAACAGAAATTATCTGTAAGGAAAGCTTTGTTATCACTGAATAAAAGGACTTCAAATTCTTGTCAAAAGACAGCCTTTCAGTCCTGTCTCTCAGCTGCTTCTTCTTGGATTATTTAGGATGTAATTTCCAGATAAGGGTTTTTTCTTTGTCTGATTATGGTTATAAAGACAAGTTATTTTAAAAGGAACCTTCATTACTGACTGGAAGTTACTAAGATCAGTATTATGCATAGGTATCAACAGAATGTTCACTTACAAAAAAGCAAAAATAATTTTGTGTTTTAAATACGGGAGTAAAAGTATGAAATTCTTTTGAATTTCTGCCCACTCTTTTTTTTCCTCCCCACAACAGAACTAACCTTAAAAGTAGAACACTTGGCTTTTCCTGCTTCCTTATGAAGATTCAAAAAATGATACTTCAGATAATGGTTTCTGACTGTGTTCTGTGAGAGCAGGGGTGTTCATTTCAGCTCAGTCCCGAGCCCTGTGTTATCCAGGGATGTGTGTTTGGGTACAG